TCATCATGACATCTGCAATGGACAAGAAGAACCAAGAAGACCAAGCAGATGCTTTGCCTTTCCAGTTGCCTGACTCTGACAACTTAACTCCACAACAGGAACTCAGACAACTTAAACTGAAGCATGGTGGGTGGGCACTGGCCCCTAGTTTGGTCACTGAAGAATCAATGTTTCAGAAATCTTTGGTTTATGAAGGTGCAAGGCCACTCTGGGCTTTGTATGCAAGGATGGCCAAAGAAGTACAGCAGCCAGAGCAGGTTCTTCAGTTCATAGTTGACATGTCCCTGGGGGATTGGATGCATGAGCTCCATTCATTGATAGAGAATGCATTCTTTGATGTGAAGACCCTGAGAAGCTTGTATTTTACAGATGGCTCAGACACTGCTGACCACTTGCAACTGCACACCAAGTTCATTTTAACACTCTTGGGCAAGAGGGCCTCAAGCCTTGCAGCAACATACCTCAGACCTCCCTACAGGTATGCTGCTTTGGCATCACCAATTGCTGAAGTTGAGCAAAGGACTAGAAAGGTCACGCAGGAAGAGTGGAAAATTGTTTTGAGGGCAGAGGAGATGTCAGCCAAGGGGCACCACATCCTGCCCCTTGACCACACACACTTTTTGGGCGCTGCTTTCCACAGAGCCTTTTATCTGGCCAATGAAATGGACACAGTTAACAATCTGCAGGGTGACCAGGCCAGTGCACAGATGTTGGCCAAAGTTGCATGCCAGCACTTGGGGGACACAGTTTGCATTGAGAACACGCATCAGAAAGCAAAGGATTTACTTAGGAGTGCCAGGCACCAGCAGGCAGGCAGACTGAGCAAAATGCATTCTGTCATTACAAGCAATGTTCTGGCAGGAAGGGGCATTGACTTCCTCAAGGTCAGTGAGTGTGACAAGGCAGCAGCTACTGTTGGAAAGCAGACATCTTTGCAGGTTGTAAGGACAACAAACCCCAATTCTCACAAAATGCAAAAGCCGTTTCAGGATGTCATGAAGTACAAGGCAGACAGAGCAGGATTTACTTGGCAGAGTTCTTCTCTTGAGGGCTTGATGAATGAGGCTGCAAGTTTTGAGCTTCTGGTTTCCAATGGCATTGATTTGGTGCCAGTGGGGGACATGCAGTCAGCTGCAGTAACTTGCTTGGTTGGGCTACCTGGTGGTCTTGTTGCAAGCAAAGATGAAGGCAGAGTGTTCCTGATTCTGGCAGTTGGAACCTTGAGTTTTCTTGGCTGGGAGATGGAAGTTGTAGGGACAAATGGTGCTGATGGTTTTGCATGTTTTCAGTGCTGCAGGCAGAAGAGGGCAGCCTCTTGGCACAGTGTGGCTGACACCCAGAATTGGCTAGCCATACCATTTGGCCCTAAGTTGCAAAACCGCTTTGGGCCTCTTCTGTTTCAGCAGTCAAGCAGGGCCCTGCCTTTGATAGAAGCTAGGATTCAGGAAGGCTTGAGCTTGACTGTTGCACAGTGCAAGATTGTGCTGGGCCATTATGGGCAGGAGCCAAAATCCAAGACTAAGGCAGATTTGTATAAGCAGGTCATTGCCTTGGTCTTGAGCAATGAAGAGGAACAGAAAGCTGCTTTTGAGAAATCAGACTTGAAAAAGCCAAAAGCTGCAGAGGGAGATGAAGATGAAGATTTGTCTGAGCTTGAAGACCTCTTAGATCATGTGGAGGATGCTGGCAACCTAGCAGACCCAGACATCAAGGCTGAAAAGCAAAAGATCAAAAATGCAAGAAAAAAGAGAGAGGCAAAACAGACTGTGGAAGCAGGGGATTTGTTGAACCCCAAAAGGGGTAGAGGCAGAGGCAGGGGCAGAGGCAGGGGCAAAGGCAAGGGAAGAGGGAAAGGCAAAGGCCGCTTTGGCAGAAAGGGTGCTAGACAGACCAAAGTGGACAATACTGCTGACCCTTTTGAGCAGCCATTGCCTTCTGACACCACAGAGGCAAAAATGAAGGTGGGTGGAGCTGCTGACCCTTTTGAGCAGCCATTGCCTTCTGACACCAGAGATGCAAAAATGGAGGTGGGTGGAGCTGCTGACCCTTTTGAGCAGCCATTGCCTTCTGATGCCAGACAAGCCAAAATGGAGGTGGGTGGAGCTGCTGGCACTTTTGAGATGGCTGCTGCTGCACATGAAGTTGTGGCTTTTCCTGCAAAGGAGGATGAGGAGGCTGAAAAGAGAGCAAAGAAGAGCACACCTGCACCCAAGTACCATGAGAGTCCACACCACCTTTTGGACCCACTTGCTCCTCCAGGTGCCAAAATCACATTGTCCACCATGGACCACAGGTGGATTGTAACTTTCAAAGCCCAATCCAAGAGCTTCATGTGGCAAACACCACCTTACAGCCAAAAGTCCTACTCAAAGAGATTTACTCAGGACACATGGCAGAGCATGCTTCAAGATGTGCATGAGTATGCCTGGCAGAAATGGAGCTTTGCAGCAGAAGAGGGGGAAGCTGTTTTTTCCCTGAAGGGGAAGGAAAGGCAAACCCCTGGCAAGTTGGATGCAGATGTTTGCTTGAAACTTGCAGATTGGGTGGTAAATCTACCACCACCCAAGAAGTATCACAGGGCAAATGAGTCTTGAAAAAGATTCCTTGCAGCTGCTTTTGTGCTGCTGAGTGGGGGTTGGGAGGTGAGGACTGAGTGAGGACCTATTGGAAGTTTGTGGTACTTTTTTGAATGATAAAGAATTAAGAATAATTTTTTTGAATTATAAAGATTTTTCTGGAACTAGAGCCTGCACTGACAGCCCTAGATGGCAACATCTTAAAAGTAACCCTCTTGAAAGTATACTAGGGCTCGCAAATGAACAACCATAGGTTGTCAGGCTTACAAACCCGACATGGTGGACAAACACACATGTCATGTTTACTAAATATTGTGCATTTTTCATAAATGTTTATCAACCCTGCTAATCATTTGTTAAATGGAACCTAGTTTTTTAGTCATGTTTAGCCTACTTCGCTGAAGTTGGGTAAAGGATTTGGCTTGTTTAGCCCACTTGGCTAAACGCGACTGTCTTGTTTACAAAACAAAAATAAATGGAACTGGCCTACTTATAAATAGGCCTTAACCGCATCAAAATTGTGTTTTTCGGGTCCGTGGGGTCGTTTTTTTGTTGATTTCGTTTGTCGTGGAAGGTTTTCGCCAGCAGCACAATGTTGATTTCTAGTTTGCCGACCGCGTTCGATGGCAAATTTGTGGATTGTTTCATGCGCATCTCAAGCTCGATGGGTTGCTTGCAAATTGGCAAAGATATGGAAATGAAATTCTTGCAACATTGTAAAACTTAGATTTCGGGCTGCTAGCAGCAAGAAAGTGTAGACGTATGCGCATTATATTTTTTGAGGATTCTGACCACGAGTTCCCATGAAACGCCGTGACCGCACCGCACTGTCGCCGGCCCATGTGCACTGGTTCATGGACCTTGGCGACATCGAGATTGATGAGGCGTCGTCTCTGACTTGCTGGAAGACGGTTTCAGTGAATATGTTTTGAGCTTTGTGTTCTACCTTGCTTGAAGAACTTTTCACGCGTGTGTTTGTTGCCACTGTTTGATTGCCATTGCTTTGAAACGAGTGCATCAAAGAAACCAGAGTTTTGACAGAAAGAGCGTTACATGAACTTGCAGGGCATCTGACATTTGCTCGTTTTGACAGGTATCATTTCTTTAAACAAACGCAGGGTGTCTGAAAGACGCTCGCAGAGGTATATATCGCAGGGACTGCGTGTGCAGCTCGCGCAACTTTACTGTAGTTTTGGATCAAGGTATATACTGTATTTCGAAATTGAAAGTATGGCTGTGAGCCCAGAGGCGTTGAATGAGATCCAGGCCGCTCTCAAGCAGGCCAACGAAGGGCAGCTTGTTCAGGCTTGCCACAATTTGATGGCCGCACTCACAAGGCACCATCTTCTTAGGAGCTCAGTCTTGTTGTCGGATGAAGTTGCGTGTCATCCGGAGAATAGAGATGGTTTCGGGCTGAGCGGACACGACGTTCACGCACTTCTTCATGGCCTGAGTGAGGTGGGGTGGGATAGTCGTGAGACTAACCCGATATGTTCGGAGGTCGGATCAAACCACGCGGATGTTCTGTCGTTCAACCAAGAGTTGGTGAGAAGCTCTGGGGGCTTGTTACCGGATGTGGTTCCGACTTCGATGCGGTACGCATCTTTGGCTGGCTCTCATACCAATGCAGCTTTGAGAGCCCTCCGCCACGAAGTGAAACTTCCACAAGATCATGGATCCGGTCCCCTGGCGCTGGAAGGCAAACTGTCGATGGCCCGAGCTCGATCTCATGATCCACAGCTGTACAAGGCAGCTGAGGAAGGCATGATCTGGCGGATTGTGTCCAAGGAGGCTGCAGCGATCGAAGGTGTGCCACAGCTGATCCAGGCAGCATCCAATACCTCCGGCCACTTGCAGCGGGGAGAGCATGAGTGGCAAATCTTGCTGCGCATGAAGGGCATGATTGAAAGGTCCACCTCTCCTCCAGAGTGGGCCCAAGTTCGAAAAGATGTCATGAGGACCAAGCCAGCCTGCGCTGAAGCCACCCCCTACATGTATCAGTTCTTGCTCAAGTACATGCATAAGAGATTGCTGGCAAAGATTGAGAGCAGGGTCAAGAAGAATGTGAGCACGAAGAAGGTGCTCGGGACAGAGTTCTTTTTGAACTTGTCGGCCGCGTCGAAGGATTGGCAGGCGCAGCATGTTTGGTTTCGGCATGCTTTGCTTGGCCTAGCCTACAACTCAGAGAAGTTGGTAGGGGCCAGTGATGCCCGACGAATCTTGTCAAAAGATGTCCCCAGCCGTGGCGAAGGCGGAGGGGTTGATGATCAAAATGCAGAAGCTCTTGGACAGCGTCGGTATTCCGGAGGAATCCGTGCAGCAGGTGCAAACTTGTTTTGATAAATTCCAAGATGGCTTGGTCTTGGAAGTCCTTGAGAAGCGCAAGGACTTGACTCCTCAATCCATGGCGTGCGAGTTCATGGATGAACTTGAGGTTCTTGGAAAGAGGCTTTCCACCGAGTTCGATGCCCATAGGAAGCATGAGAGCTCCACCCCATCAGCTCCTGCGGCAAGCCCGGGTCCCTCAGTGATTCCGCCAACCGGACAATTTCATCAAGAGTTTTTTGTGCGTAGTGAACCTACAAAATAGTTTGATGTCATTCACTCTCCAAAGCGTTTCTTGCACCGCGTATTGGGTCGGACAGCTTTGCAAGGAGTTCCTTTTGTTTTTTGGTGCATAGTGAACCTACAAAATAGTTTCACAGTTCATTCACTGTCCAAAGCCTTTCTTGCGCCGTATATTCAAAAACCCTTGTCCATGTCAATTCAAGGCGCGAGTACGATGAGTTTGGGAAGATCAAGGAAGAGGCAGTGCTGGTGAGAGAACAGGGCTTTGTCGAAGGCGCATCGGTTCTTCGCAAGAAGGACAAGGTTAGGGCCACAATCGAGAGTTTGAAGGGGTCGAAGGTCAAATTGTCTTTGGACACAGAGGATGTTTCTGGATACTTTGAGCTTTCGGCTGGATCTTTCTTGAGAGGAGAATGGAAAGTAGTGAAGAAACATGTCGAGACCACACAATATGAATTTGACACCTTCTCTGACCATACGGCGCTCAAGTCAGATGCAATCAATCTCACGTGCGCCAAGGGTGAGGTGGCCAGGCGCTTCATTGAATTGGATCAGCAGCACGCCAAAGTGCTTGAGGGATTGAAACTCCAGGTGAAACCTTCCAAGGCAGTCTTTTGCGCAAAGCCCTTTGCCAAAAACAAGTTGATCCTCATCCCATCAACATGGAAGATTGAATCCAAAGAGGCGAGCTCTGGCCTTTCGATTGGAACAATCAGGGATGCGCCCTTGAGTCTCTTGCCTGCCTTCCTGCATTCCAAGGACGGCGACTTGACTGGTTCGTTCCTGCAGCCTTTTTGGACGGTCAAGAGAACCCATGTTCTTGAGGATGCAAATTGTGAGATTCGCCCCAGCTTGACAGACACAGAGAACAATTCTGTCAAGATCCCATGTATGTACAACACATGTGCTTTGAAGCCCAAAGACGAGTTGATTGTCTATACGCCCCAAGTGAAAGCGGAAGAGGAGCCAGAGCCACTAGCTCCCATCGCCGCGCCACCGCCTGCCAAGCGCGCCAGGACCAAATCCAAGGAGTCATAGGAGCACTTTAATGCCACAACTTTTGCGGCGCAACATGGTGCCAGCCACCGACTTGAGCTCAATGATGGGAAACAGTGAGTGTGCTCGCGGTGAAACTTTGTTGTGAGGTCTGGAAGTTTGGTATGTTCTTTGTTTGGCCTTTCTGAATCACAGAGGCGCAAAAACCAAACCTGTGTAAGCTTGTCATGGAGGCTGGTTGGTCACACGACTTTGAGCCGGGAGCCTTGTGATATGCGGGGGCAAGTGAAGAAATGATTTCCGGACTGTGAAGTTGCTCTCGCAAATGTCTTTGTGTGTGATTGCAAGAACTCTTGATTGGCAGAGCTTGTCATCTTACAATGAAACGTGATTTGGTAAACGTTTGAATGTGTTTGCAAGAGTTCTTGATTGGCATTGCGTGTCATGTCAAAGCGAACCTCCAAGATGCAACCCTTTGATACGTTTAAGTGGCAGGGCTTGTCACAGCTCAGGCTCGCAAGCAAAGGCAGGGCCTGAACTTGGCTCGTCTTAGATTCGATAGATTGTATATTGCCCATGGCCGAAGCTGAAGTCGTAGAGAGCGAGAATGAAGAAGAGCTCATGCAGCAGGACCCTTTGGATCCAGCCTGCTTTATCATGCAGCCGACCTGGCTGCTCAAATCAGGATCAGTGAAGTGGTATCCTGAGATCGACACGCAGGGAGGAGTAGACTTTGTGAGGCTGAGCAAATTCGATCGCCATTTTGTCAAATTCTGTCTTCAAAGGCCTATGGATTTGTCTCGAGGTGTGGGGAGATCGGCCAACAGCACACTCTTTGAGGATTTGCTGGCTTTGCGGAAAACCGCCAGCGTTGCCTCCGTGAGCGCGCAAATGGAGATGCCTGAAGCTGATGAGCCCGCGAGTCAGCGCCGCAAGAAGAGGGTGCGGGACGAAGATGTGTGCTTGGTGGATCCTGTTGTTAGGATCTTGCTGCCAGGGTTCGAATTCAAAGGGGAGATGTATCCCTCCCGGGAGGTCCAGGTCTTGTTCGGTGTGAAGTCCAAGGACCTGTGGATTGAGTTGTCCCACAAGAACATGGCCTACATGAGGGCTTTGGTCCAAAAGGGCGAGGGGCAGGTGCCTACGAGGAAGAAGCGTGCGTCGCCCAAGAAGAAACTGAAACGCATGGCACCCTTGGCCGATACTCCATCACCAAAAAAACAACGGCGAGCAGCTGGAGAAACTTTGAGCAATGAGACCGAGTTTCCCAACACTCAGGTCGAACCATCGGTGCATCATTTTGATGTGCACGAGTAGGCATTCTTGGTGCTGCTTCAAAGCGCAGAGCTGCTTTGTGTTTTTGAATGTGTTTGAATAGACGGAGCCCGGAGCCCTTTGAAAGAAATAGGCAAATCATTTGAGCTCGAGTCAGGAAGGTGTGCGTTTGAGGCCCT